GTGTGTGTGTGTGTGTGTGTGTGTGTGTGTGTGTGTGTGTGTAGTACCTGCAGAGGCCAGAAGAGGGTATCAGATCCCCTGGAGCTGGAGTTATATGCAGTTATGAGCTGCCTGACATGGGTGCTAGGAACTGAACTTGATCCTCTGCAAGAGCAGCAAGCACTCTTAAGTGCTGAGCCATCTCTCCAGCCCCCTTGTTTTACTTAAATAAGTCAAATTCATCATGTTTATCTTCTCAGTGGAAAGCAGGAAAGACAAAAGGAAATATAAATCTTTCTGCCCTTGAGGAAGTTCCCTTCTACATTATTTCAAGCAAAGATTAAGTAAATGGGCAAACTGAGAAGGAAAAAAAAATATTTCCAGCTAAAATAATCCAGGAATATCTCTGCCTAAGGTTTTGAACAGAATCACCAGGCTCACCTGACTTTAAGACCCACACTTACTTGAATAATCTAGAAACACAATGGGTTTTATTCCTATATAGTGAAGAAATGAAGCAATCAAAGATGCTTCTCCAGGGCTAGGGAGATGTAAAGTGCTTGCCACATAAGCTTGAGGACCTAAGTTCTAATCGCCAGCACTCCTGCAAGAGGCCAGGTGTGGCAGCACGGCCTGGGGAAGTGAAGATCCATGGGAGCTTGCTGGCCAGCCAGTGTGCCAAAATGGTGAGCTCCAGGTTCAGCAAGAGTCTCTGCCTCAAAATGTAAGGAGGAGATCACCTGAGGAAGACTCAGTGTCAGCCTCTGGAGTATGCAAAGGTACCCACACACACATACACACACATACTAAAATACAGGAGCAACCCCCCCCCACACACACACACACAAAGAAGCTTCTCCAGGCTGAAGTAGTTGCGAGGTGGGAAAACTCCTGGATTGAGTTAAAAGAATCTCAATGTGACACCGGCCCTGCAGTGCCTTTTTATACCAGTATGAATCACAAGTAAAGGAGGACAAGAAACATGCCATAGCAGCTGATGACAGCACTGATGATATGTTCGATGCATGTCACCCATTTTCAGAAAACCACAACGGTGTCTCATAGTAATAGTTCAGCAGGGTGCTTTTTACATGCATGGTGCCTGGTTCTTCATATGTGCTTTTTCGTTCACTGTTTACAACACTAAAAGAAAATTGTCCTTTGTCGTCTTTGACAAATGAGTAAGCAGGAGCATCAGAGAGGCGTGTGGCTAAAATAACCTGAACACTAAGTGGTTGACTGGCTATTGAATGTCTGACTTTACATTCTAACATCTGTGTAGCAAATCACCCCGTACAGAAATGTCATCGGCAGATCCAGGTTCTGGCTCCAGCATGTCTGCTAAATAGCTGTGTAACACTCAGCAAAGCAGGCTTTGGTCCCTCATGTACAGAAAAGGAGAAGTTGGACCAGGCAATTTCTATGCTGTCATTCATCTAGACAAGACTGACTCCATGCATTATGACATTGGAGACCAGAGAACACATGATGGAATTGTGGACTGCAAAACATTTGTAACATGACATTCATAAGAACTAACAAAATGTACAAGCATGAGCCCACTATTCCACTTAAGAGCTAGAATATTCCAATACTGCATAAACTTTCTGACTCCACCCCCTCTTTCTCTCCACCAGCGATTAACACTATCCTGTGTTTAATGTATTACTCCTTTGATATATTTTTAGTAGTCACTTGGCATTTCTTTGCCTCATTGTACAATATATGCTTAGTTTACCATATATTGAGCTTTATAGCTATAATATCTTATGACATTTAAAAGTCCAATATTGTATGCCTATGATTCAACTGTGTTGTCATCCACAGACATGTTCACAATTTTCACTACAGTGTAATGGACCATTGTATAAACAGCATACACTTATTTATGCATTCTCCTCTTGAAAGATACTGGGGTTCTAGTGATATTGCTAATCTCTCCTATTAGCTATAATTCCCTGTAGATTTCTTTGGAGATTCCAAGTAGACAATTATATCATCTGCCTGAAAATAAGTCTTTCCATTTCCTCAGACAATGAGACATGAACTAGGTGCAGATATCCAAACATTAATACTCTTCCCTTTTCAGCACACTGACATAGTAAAAGACTGGTTAATGAGCAAGAAGAACGAACCAACCTGCGTGGTACAGGGCGTCCAGGAAGGCGCGGAACCAGCCGTCTGTCTGGAGCTGCAGTAGGCACTGAAGGAAAAGCGAGGCGGCCTCCATTGTACCCTTGTTGTTCTTCTCTGCCTGAATGTACTGCACCTCATCTACAACAGAGGCAAGGATGAGCGATCAGCTGCAGAACTCTGCCTCACTGAAAGAAGCAGCAGACCAGACCGTCCCACATGGGGCTGAGGGGTCATAACAGGTCACAGAAATGGTAGGAACTTCAGGAAAGCCCCAGACTCTCAGTACATTGACCACTAACACATACTTCCCATTCTGTACAGAAACTTCTCATTTCCTATGGAAATCTGAGAGCCCACTCTAAGAAAGGCGTTTCCTTAAGGCATTTGAAAAAGTCTCCCTAGAGAAACCAGAAGTCACAGCAGATGGAGCTACATGGAAGGAAAGAGGCTTCCTCTCTTGTTCAAAGCGGGACCAAGAGGGCGAGGGTGCTCCAGGGCATCAGCAAGAGTGCAGCAGACACAAGCAGTTCCAAATAAGGAACAGTAAATACGCTCATGGTATTGTGTTCTAGGTTTTTGCTAAGAGAATAGGAAATACAATAACAGCAACAGCAAAGTAGAAAGAGGAGGATTTAAAGAGAAACGATGAGACCAGGTAGCAAAAAAGGCCAGCCAGCTGCTTGTGCCTATTCTGAATTTTCATACCAACTTCATGCCCAGGGAGTAATGACCAAGCTGTCTTAGTGTGGCCTCACATTCAGTAATTTCCCCTTTTTCCATAGTTAATGCAGTGCAAATTCCAAAGGAAGGAGCCAGTTCTCAGTGTGGTTTTCATATATTTTTAGAGATTAGGAGACAGACACCTTAAGAGACACTCAACAGACATATACTGAGTGATTGAAAAGAGGAAGGACATCTTCTATCCTAGCTCTCATTTCAAAATGTCTATAAGACATTACTAGTAACAGTACAATTTGCTCTTTTAAAGCTTAAAACCATCCCTACAATGGAATTATGATGAAAAGAAACCCCTTACCTATGTTATTCATTAGCAGTTACTCTGCTCCCTCTCTCCTTAGCCCCAGCAATCACTAATCACTAACTTCATAGATTTGGCTATTCTGGACTTTTTAGGCCTCATGTACAGAAGCCAGTACTCTTCCACCAAGTTCCATCCCCAGCTCTCACATGAACATTCATGTCCTGACAGGCTCCTTTCATTTAACACAGTGTTTTCAAAGTTCATACACCTTGTAGCATACTACCTTCCTTCCTTTAATAAAAAGTGTAAGACTGCAAAGCCAAATGAAACCCTATCGTATGAACATACCACACTGTACTAACCCCTTTATCAGTCAACAAGCATTTGGGCTATGCCCACATTTGGCTATTATGACTAGAAATAGTATGAATCGTTCATGTACAATTTTGTGTAGCATATATTCATTTCTTTTAGGTACCTATATAGCCAAGTCATGTAAGAATTCCATTTTTAATATTGTACAGAATGCTAAACCATTTTCCAAAGAAGCTGCACCACTTTCAGTCCCACTAGGAGGAACGCATCCACCAGGACTGGCTTTCCACACGTCTCTCTCAATGCTTCTTGCTATCTTTTTCATGTAGCCATCGTAAGAATTTCCTGTGGCTATAGTAATACTTTGCTACAAACCAAGTAGCTTGAGACAATAGAAATGCACTTTTTCACGGTTCTAAGGCCTGTAAGTCTGAAATCACGGTGTTGACAGGGCCACGTTTCCACAAAAGATAGAGGAAAATGTTTTCCCTGCCCCTTCCAGCTTATGGCGGCTATTGGTATCCTTTCCTTGTGACCTCCCAACTCCAGAGTCCACAGCTACCTTATACTGCCCTCTCCTCATCTGGCATGCGGTGCACTGCTTCAGGATTTGCCTTTCTCCTTGCATGGCACCTTCTTGGTCTCTGTGTCTACACATGGCTACCAGGGATACAAGTCATTCTGGATTAAGGACCCACCATACTACACATGACCTTATCTTAACCAATTATTTCTGTAAAGACCCTGTCTCCAAATAAGATCACATTCTGGGGCACTGAAAATGAGAATGCCAACATACCTGTTTGAGGAGCACAATTCAACTCCTAACAGCAACCTATCTTGTCACTTCTCCCAGATTCCCTGGGCCCACAATCTTACCTCTTCTTTGACTCAGTCTGTCCTATTCATAAACTCAGTGCTTACAGCTGTTTTTGCTCCCTGCTACATTATCTTCCTTTAGGCCAGCCATTATGTTACCATGTAGGAAACCAGATTTATAACAGCTACAGCTGGGGCCTTCCCAGGTAAACTGTCTTGTCATATCCTGAGCAGTTCAGACTTAGTTTGCACATGGTATAGCCCTTTGCTGCTAGCTAGATCCAGTACTGCTGCCACAAGGCAGTGTTAATTTCCTCAAAAGCATGAGGACTTGAAAGCAGTGAAAATCCTGTCTTTTGGAAGTCAATGGTCACCACTCCTTTGCTGTCCTGGCCCCCCTGTGGTGCCACCCACACCTTCCCAAAGTAGAATTTTTTTTCCCTGTGCTTCCTTACTCTCTCTGAGTCTCTGACCGGGCTACAAAGTACACAGTACTATGGTTGTATCTCACACTGTAATGTGGACATTCTTCATCTCTGCATTCTAATCAACAGTGGTCCTGCTTCATCTATGTATCCGGAAGGCATAACCAAAGAATTGGACATTAAGAATACTTCCCATCCAGTGTTCTTCTAGAGTAATCTTTAACTCCAAAGGGATATTGCAAAAATCCTACAGCCCACACCCAGGTCTACCTGGAAACATCCTGGAAAGTCTGTTGAATAAGCAAAACTGATACATAGAGAAGAAGTAAAGTTTTCCAGAAGAAATAAGACTTCAATAGTTCTCTCCTAAGATGCAACCTGTACCAATAATCATGAATACAATTTCTAGGAAGAAGGTTTATAGTGAAAGAGATGCTGACTCTTTGGACATGGAGAGGGTATGGATAAGTTCCCACTGTCTCCTAATATCAAGTAAAAAATTTTTTAATTTAAAAATTTTATACCCAGTCATAATACCCATTAGAATCCCTAGTTCCCAAATTCTTATTGATACAATATACTTGTCACCATTAAGGTCAGTTGATAGAATCTAGAGCTTCTCAAGGAGTCAGAGCAGGATAGCAGGGGCGAGGGCAAGAAGAAGAAATAGAACATGTTGTCAACCTAGCAGAAAACAGAGCAAAAGAGGATGCTGAAAGCACAAGATTCGTGAGCAAATATGTACATGTATATACATGATAAGGTATAAAGACATGATCAAGCAAGATACAACAACTTGTCTTTGGTCTTTTTGAGACAGGGTCTCCCTGTAGTCCCAGCTGTTCTGGAACTCACTATGTAGACCAGGGTGGCCTTGAACTCACAGAGATCTGCCTGCCTCTGCCTCCCAAGTGCTGGGATTAAAGGAGTGCACCACCACACCAGGTCCAACCACTTGTCTTTTTACCTGAGGGTTAGATACGAGCTTTATTACTAAGCTAAGTGCCCAGCATCATACAATCAACTTTATAATGGGCCTCTGGGAGTCGTGGGGTGAGGTGGAGCTGGAAAGACCTCTACTCTATCTCTAATATTCAAAAATAAAAAATTATAAAGTATCTTTTTAACTTACCTCAAGTACTTTTGTTATGGCTATACTATAACAATAAATAAACTGGGGAAACTAGCACATCCACAAACCTGCAGCCTGTCTGAGGCAAAGCTGACTCCTCTCTTACTCCAATATTATTCTTCAGGGACTTGATAATTTTCTTCATATTGCCTTCCCACATTTGTGAGTAAATTTATTACCATTTTGTGATATTTTCTTATTAATTTTTCTATTACATTTTCTCGCAATAAATTTATTCTTCTGATTATAAAATGACAATGTGCCAATGTAAGTACTTTAAGCACTAGATGCGAAGTATAAAGAAGTGGCACATCACACAGAAAATCAATCACATGTAACACTCCAGAGACCATTTCCCCAAGTGTCAAACCATGTGTAAATACATAGATTTTAATAAATAGGACCCCATACATTTTCGCTCATCAATGGACTAGAAATATTGTTTCCCCTCCATAAATATGGATATTCATCAGCCTATATAACTTCAGAGCAAATAAAACATGTAATGCACTCCTTATTAACAGGAAACTAACATGTGTTTAGTACAGACATGACCTTTACCGATTTTCCTTAGAATACTTTCCTAGAAACAGAATTTCTGAGTTAAATAGGAAACATTTTTCGATGTAGATACAGGTTATTCAACTTTCTCTCAAACTATAGCAATCTATGGTCTGTGAGCAATGATGAATGCTTATTTCCTATCATAACCTGAAATCTGCTGAATCTTAATAATCGTTGCAAAACACACAAAAATAACCTAAACTCAGTTGTTTCATTTCTTGTTTCCTCGTTTTGTCATAGTATTCATTTTTTATTTTATCTTTAACTTACAGAGAGACAGGAGAGAGAGAGAGAGAGAGAGAGAGAGAGAGAGAGAGAGAGAGAGAGAATGTGTACATGAGTACAGGTGTACCATGTAAGCCAGAAGAAGGCATCAAATCCCCTGATGTGGGTGCTGGGAACCGAACTCAGGTCCTCTGTAAGAACACTACATTCTCTTAACCACTGAGCCACCTCTCCAGCCCTTAGCATAGTATTTTAAAAACTAAATTTCAGAAGCTGCAGAGACAGCTCAGTGGTTAAGGGCACTGGCTGCTTTAAAGAGGACTCAGGCTGGTTCCTAGCACCCATATGGCAGCTAACGAACATTCATAACTCCAGTTCCAAGGACTCTTGGGGACTGCACTGAGGAGCTGGATTGGTCTGGATGCAAAGGATCAGGAAGAGGAAAGGTCAGGCCCAGGGTCCCAGAAAGGGACTGGTGGGTGGGTCAGGCCCAGGGAAGTTGAGGGAGGTGAGGACGGGGCCAGGCCCAGAGTGGGGACCCGAGAAGGCACTGTGTTGGTCTGGATGAAAAGGATCAGGAAGCAATAGTTGTTATGCAGGTGTCTGGGGCCCCAAGACAAAGAATGGGACAGGACCCAGGCTAGGAGGAGAGACCAGTGGGGGAGATGGGAGGGTGACTCTATCACATTTTACTTACCTATTTATTATTTGCATGTGTATGTGCACGTGTGTGTGTGTGTGTGTGTGTGTCTGTGTGTGTGTGTGTGTGTGTGTGATGGCAGACATGTGGCAGATATATGGAGACCAGAGAGGACAACTTGCAGGAGTCAGTTATCTCCTTCCATGTGGGTTCCAGTGATGGAACTTGGGTCATCAGGCCTGGTGGCAAGCACCTTTACCCACTGGGCCATTTTGTGGGCCCCAAATATGCAATTCTTAAATCATGAAAATAAATATTTAACGTCCCCATGATTAATTCTTGGAATTTAGAATTAATTTAGAATTAGTAACACTAATGTAGTGTCATACACATTAATTCTCAAAGTCTTCAAACATGATTGTTCATCATAAAGATGAAACTGAAATAGAGTTAAGACATTTGTCTGGGGCCCCAGAGCCTGTAAATTGCAGAATAACTTTACACAAGCTGCGCTTTGGACAGTTTGTTAAACCTTCGTCCACAAAGCTTACAAACTGAGGAGAAGGATGTACTCTCAATCTCTAGGGTACAGATTGAGTATGCAGCATCTTATCATTTTTATAACTACGAATAATCTAATTTAGCAATATTGGTAAAAATGCCTTATAATCGCCAAATTTCTTGAGTTTTAAGATTTTTTGTTACATTTATTACCCAACAATTTATTTGTAGCAAAGCCACATTGTGAACTAGTCATCTGTTTAAAATCTTATACTTTTTGTCATGCAGTACCTTTTAATATTAAAATCGGATCTTTAGGGGCTGGAGAAATGGCTCAGCAGTTAAGAGCACTGATTGCTCTTCAGAGGGCCCAGCCAGGTTTGGTTCCCAGCACCCACATGGCAGCTAACAACTGTCTGTAACTCCGGTTCTAGGGGACCCAATGCCTTCTTCAGGCCTCCATGGGCATTGCACAACACAGGTGCACTTACATGCAGAAAAAAAAATCATACACATAAAAGTAGATAAACCTTTTTCTGTATGAAACGGTAGATTTTAAAATGAAATGGTGATCTTTTTTAAAGTTAAAACCTCATTCAATTTTATGTCTTATAGGGTTTATACTGAGTACAATATTGTATAACTATTAATTCAACTGGAAAACTAAAAATTTATAGCCAATACTGAAAGAATGCATCTTTGCTCTGGAAATTGTTATTGAATATGTTAATGCTGTAATGAAATGCTTCTTCTAATCATGTGGTTATTAAATATTTTTTTAAAATGTAGATCAATTTTTTAAAAATTGGACCTCTATATTTTTGTTTGCACTTATTTAAAAAATCTTCACATTTTTAATATTATTTTACCTTACGTTTCATTGACAATGAATTCTGCTTATGCGCTCATCTAACCTCATTTAAAAGATGGTTGACTTATTAAAAGACAGTAAATGGAGCTGGGTATGGTGGCACACACCTTTAATCCCAGCACTTGTGAGGTAGAGGCAGGCAGATCTCTGTGAGTTCAAGGCCAGCCTGGTCTACATAGTGAGTTCCAGGACAGCTGGGGCTACAGGGAGACCCTGTCTCAAAAAGACGGAAAAAAAAAAAAAAAGACAGTAAACGGGAGCTGGAGAGATGGTTCAGTAGTTAAGAGCACTGACTGCTCTTACAAAGGACCTGAGTTTGATTCCAGGTACCCACGTGGCAGCTAACAACTGTCCTTTACTCCAGTTCCAGGAGATCTGACACCCTCTTGTGACCTCTGTGGTCACTGCATGACATGGGTGCACTCACATACATGTAGGCAATACATTCATACACATAAAATAGAAATAATAAATTAAAAAAAAAAAGAAATCAGTAGCTTTCATACTGACCAATAACAAACTTGCCAAGAAAGAAATCATAGGGGGAAATTGCATTCACAATAACTTCAAAAACAAAAGAAACAACAATAACAAAAATATCCTAACCAAAGACCTGAAAGACCTCTACAAGGAAAGCGCTGAAGTCACTGAAGAAATTTATGAAGATACTCAAAGACAGAAAGATCTCCCACTCTACTGAATCGTAGGAATTAATATTGTGAAAATGGCTAGAGTACCAAAGGCAATGTACAAATTTAACACAACCCGCATCAATAACCCCAATGACAGTCTTCACAGAACTAGGCAAAACACTCCTAAAATTCATAAGGAAGCACCAAAGACCCCAAATAGCCAAGGTAATCCTTAACAGAGAGAACACTGCACTCCAACCAGATTGGCTACGGACAAGAAGACAAATGACAAATGCTGACAACCATGTAGGAGAAGAGGAACACTCACTGCTGGTGGGAATACAAACTTGTGCAGCCACTATGGAAATCAGTATGGAGGTTTCCAAAAAACAGCACTGAGAATCGAACTACATATGACTCAGCTATATATCACTCTGGGATTATACTCAGGGAAGTCACAAATCAACATACTATAGAGATACTTACATATGTTTATCACTTCTGTATCCACAATAGCCAGGAAGCAGAACCAGCCTACAGTCCATCAGCGGAATGGATAAAGTGTGGTACATATACACTACAGTTCTATGCAGCCATAAGAAAAATAAATCATGAAGTGCTGGAAAATGGATGGAACTGGAAATCATTATGTTTAGTGAAATAAGTCAGACTCAGAAAGAAAAACACAATGCTTTCTTACAGTGGAACCCAGATTTTAAACTGCATGTTTGTTTATAGATGTATACAGGTCATGAAACTAAAACGGGAAGGAAGAGAGGCTAAATGGGGCGTGGGGAGAGGGTAATGGAAGACTTGCAATGGAAAAGCAGAAGGTGGGACTCTGGGAGAAGGAAGGAAGGAAACCAGAGAACAGGGTGGGGTAGCGGCAGGAAAGGGGAATGGATGAACGCAAAGTGCAGTGGCACACGTGTGGCCAAACTAAAAAATTAATAATTAAAAGAATGGACGTCGCAGCTTGCGGCGGTTTCGCCCATGGATCCTAAAAGCAGTGTGCTGTGTGGGTTTCCGTTCCCCAGGGCCCGAGTCTGGTAGCCAGGACGCCTTTGTAGCACAGTTGCAAAGAGCAGGTCCACCCGGAATTCTTTCACTTCTCACTGCACAGACTGTGGATTAGATTTTGCAGCACAAGCAAAGACCCAAATCACCTGCAATTTCCAAAAACTGCCCAACACCAGGAAAGACGTTTATGCATTTGCAAAATGAAAAGGAACCGCCAGATCTCTCTCATCTGGACTCCCATCTCCCCTTGCTTCCTGCAACTTCCTCATCATCACCCCTTGGACGAAACCTCTGGTCATTCTTTACTGGAAGGCCTCCGTCCAACTCACGAAGTGGCTGTTATCCACCATCAAGTCTCAAAAGCTTGATGGAAACACCTCCACCAAAAGCCAAACACACTGAGTCTGAGGAAAGCTTTCCTCCTCCAGCTTCCAGTGAGCAGCATTATGACACCAATCCTTGGGCTTCAGGCCACCTGCTCCGGACTGTGGACTAAGGACCGCCGGCTTTTATTTCTGTCTCTCGCAACAGTACAGTGCCGAGCACACAGCCGTCTAGAATATCAGCAGACACAAAAGAAACAGACGGTTTCGGGCGGACCCTTACACAAGGGACTCCATTTGCTGGAGCTGTGCCCCACCCTGGCCATCAAACCCTGATGCTGTCCTCGGTGCTCTGGGTTAGTCACGTTAGTTACCAGAAATGCCTAGGGGGGCGGGGAGGGGGAGGCAGGACCTCGGATTTCGCGTGGAGAGAGGTCGCTGGGGACCACTCACCCTCCCCGAGCCAGGTGCCCATGTAGCTGAGGATGTGGGTAGGATCCAGGGTCCTCCGGACATAGTCTCGGAACGCGTGCAGATTCCGCCGCTGCTCGTCAGTCATGCTGCCAGGCTCCCCGGGACCGTTCGCCCCGCTACCCTAAAGCCGCATGAGCAGCGAGCCAGCCCCAAGGGACGGGACGTTCTGAGAAGTCAGCCCGGCAAACGCCCTGCGACCTGGAGCTTTAACCAGCTGGGAAATGGAAAACGAAACCCGCGGCTCTGGAGGGCGGAGGGTGTGCAGTTTCGATTCCTAACCCTAGGGAGCTGCAGACCCAGAGCCAGCAGCACCCCCCTGGGAATTGCCTTTAAGTTTAGACACTGTAAAATGCGCACAATTTAAATATGTAATCTGACGCATCTTGAAAAATATATACAGCTGGGACCACCTCCCCCAGATCAGCTTACCCTACAGTAATTGTACACGTAAACTTTCTTTGGGACACTACCACCAGTTTCCACCCTCTCCAGCAGGATTAAAGGACTCCAGCAGATACACACCCGCTGGCCTGGAACAACACTACGGAAACCAGGCTTGCCTCCATCTCACAGAGATCCTCCTGCCTCTGCCTCCGGAGTGCCAAGATTAAAGGCACACCCAGTGGTCTTTCCTTTTTTAAATTTCTGTATGAAAAGATCATTATTGTATCCCAAATTCAGTTTTCTTAAGTGTCTTTTGCTGGGTGTGATGGTGCTCACCTTTAATCCCAGATCTCTGTGAGTTCAATGTCAGCCTGATCTACATAGTGAGTTCCAGGCCAGGTGGAACTCAAAAAGACTAGTCTCAAAAAGACTAAAAATAAATAAATACATAAATACATAAATAAATAAATAAATATTTAAAAGGTGTCTTTTGACAAGCTGTTAATATTAATGAAATCTAATTTTTCAGACTTTTTCTTCCCTCTAATAAATCTGCCTACCCCAAGCTCACAAAGTTATTCCATATTTGTTTTAAAGCCTTTTTATTTTTAGCTTTTACTTTTGGGTCTATGTCTGTCTCATACTAATTTTGTTGTTCTCTAACACAGAAGTCCAAATTCATTTTTTTCCAGTACTGCTAACTGATCCTGCACTGTTGAAACTTGTCCTTCCTCCATTGAACAGCCTTGGGACTTTTGTAAAAAAAAAAAAAAAAAAATTGACTGCATGTACTAAACCCATTTCTGAATCTGTTCCACCCAGTTCCATTGCCTGACATTTGTAACAATACAGACCACTTGCTCAGGGTTACTGTGGATTTCAAGTGACTCTCGAAATATGGTACCGAGTCCTCCAAATTTGTTCCTCAGTATAAAGACTATCTTGGCTATTGTTGGCTTTTTACATTTCCATATGAAATACAAACCAGCATTAAACCCACAGATAGATGCAATCCTAGGACTGAGTCTTCTAGCCAGTGAACATGGTATTTCTTGGAATTTATTTAGGTCTTTGATTTTTCTAAGCAATTCCTTATAGTTTTAAGGGCACACATCTTATATGCTTTATGGAACTTATTCTTAATGTTATATGTTCTTTTTTTTAAGTAAACAACATTTTTATTCATCTTAGATTTTAAGCTGCTTTTTGTTTCTGGAAGCTTTTAAGAAGAAAACCGAATTAGGTCCACTTGGATGTCCACTGATTTCTTTTTATGAAAACTGTATAATGCTGGCAAGTCATATCGAAGTTCTGCAATAATTTCTATCTTGATTTTCCATTCTGCAGCTTTCTTTTGAATATGTTCTCTAGTTGAGGATTTGTGTAATGAATATACTGCTGTTCTTGCCATTTCCAAAGCAGTCTTTACAAAAGCCATATCTGTCCCTTTATTATTTTTGGTTCCAAAGGGAGGATTCATAATTACTGTATCAAATGACTTGGACAATCTATTTGATAATGAGTACACATCACACTGAACCATATCAACATCTGTTAACTCAAATTCTTCCACATTCCTATTAAATATTTCCAGTACATCTTCTTCTATGTCAAATCCAACACACAACCCTGGTCCTAACATTGCAGTTCCAATGCTAAGTACTCCACAGCCACATCCTATATCTGCAACCACTTTATTTTCAATGCTATCATATGTGTTATGGATTGTATAGAGCATGCATGCTGCAATGTGCGGCCTGGTGGGAATATTGTTCTAGAAGTAACTTGGGCTTTTCCAATCCATCCACTTCTTGCAGGCGACTCTCTAGTTCCTTGAGCCTTAATTTCTTCATTGTTTTCTCTCTTTGCAGTGTGGGCTTGGGGCTTAACCGCACCAGGACTTGCAGGGAACTCTCCAACCCAGCTGTTATATATTCTTTAATACAACTGTAAGTAGAATTGTTTTTGAATTCTCATTTTCAAATTGTTGCTACCATACAGAAATACAAGTGAATTTTGTTTGTTGACCTTGTACCGTGCAACATTGCTCAATTAATTTATTAGTTCAATTCATTGTTGTATAGATTCCTTAAATTGCTCGGTGAATTCCTTAAATTGCAGTCAGTCATCTGTGAACAGTTTTCCTACTTTTCCATGACTTCATGACTTTTATTCATTTCCTCTCTTTATACTTATACTTTTACTTTCTTTTCCTATCTGGATGCTTTCTACCACTTTCTTCTTCTCTGGTCACCTTAAGGCCTGCAATATTATGTTGAATAAAATGTCCCGTGGCCAAGGATGACCTTTGAAATGCTCCTCCTATCTCTGTCTCGGGAATGCTGAGATTACTGGCCTATGCCATCAGGCCTGGCTCATTGATTGACTTTTTTTCTCCTATCTTTTTGTTGGTTTGTTTGTTTTGAGACAGGGTGTCCCTGTAGCCCCAGCTGGCTTGGAACTTGCTACATAGACCAGGCTGGCCTCCATCTCACTGAGAACCACCAGCGTCTGCCTTTTGAGTGCTGGGATTAAAGGCATGTATCACCACGCCAGGCCTCATTGACTGACTTAAGTAAAAGTGCCCTAGCACCTTTGGATAAATCTCTCTTGGTCATGTGTACCATCCCTTTTTATAGACTTCTGGATTTGATTTGCTAGTATTTTCCTAAGTTGTTTTTGTTGCTGTTGCTGCTATGTTCATGAAGGATGCTGGTCTGCAGTCTCCTTATGTTGCCCATGCTGGCTTCACAAGAGTCTGTAAGAGTGGCATCTCCCTCTTAAATACTGACAGAATTCACCAATAAAATCATTTGGGCTGGAGTTTTACTTGCCTGGAGATTCATTACAATGGATTCAGTTTCTTTACTAAGTATAAGGCTATTTAGATTTTTTATAATCTCATCTTGAATCAATTTTGGTAAATTGTTATACAGCAACTCACTATGTAGACCAGGCTGGCCTTGAACTCGGAGATTTCCCTGCCTCTGCTTCCTGAGTGCTGGGCTTAAAGGCGTGCACCACCATGCCCGGCAAAAGGAAGTGGTCTTAATTCTATGGTGGGGGGGGTAGTGTTCCCATTTAGGTCTGATAAATTATGCTTCATACCATTATAAAAGGCCTTGTATCAAACCATGACATTTCCATAGTCATTGCAGTTCTCTGAGCTTATTGTTTGCATGGTGTATTTTTCCACCCTGTGCTGGATAGCTTTACTTGTGAACTTGACACACCTGGGTAGAGGGAGCCACAACTGGTAAACTGCTCCCATTGGACTGGCCTTTGGCCAAGTTGGTGGGGCATTTTCTTAATTATTGAGTGATGTGGGAGGGTGCATCCTACTGTGGGAGGTGCCACCACTGAGCAGGTGGTCCTGTGTTGTATAAGAAAGCAGGTGGAGCAGGAGCCAGGGGAGCAAGCCAGTAGGCAGCGTTCCTCCACGGCCTGTGCTCCAGCTCGTGGAACTTTATGAACACCAAGTAAATGGCAAAGGGCAGAATGAAAAGGTAGATAGCATCTCTAAGACAAGGAGTTAAGTGCAACTGAAGGGTGTTAAGCAAGGGTAGAAAGGACCGGACAACATGTTTTCGAAGACCTCTCTGGTTCCTATCCACAAAGGGCAGGACAGTCAGGAAGTGATTCAAGTAAGACAAGGGATAGATAAGGAATGTAAAGGAGGGGACAAGCAGTGAATGGGACAGGCAAAGACTGAACTCAGGGGCTGGTGATGCAAAGGAAGAGGAAAAACATATCCAAAGTATTTGGTTTGAGCATCTGGCTTGAGAATGGCAGTACCATACAAATATGAGCAGAAAGACTTAGAGCTTACACAGTCTAGTGTGGGAGACGGATAGAAAAGTGATGTGTACGAAGGCAGGGAAGAAAGCTGGACAGGGACATAAGGAGCAGTGGAGGCTGCTAACAGTGGATGCATTATTCAGGAGAGACCAAAAGAAGAAAGTGCGGAGCGAAGAGCACGGTACGCACGAGAACCCAAAGGCAGGAATAAACCGGGTTGGAAAAGGAAAGGCGGCAGCTTGTATTGCTAAAGTGGAATGGGCCGGTGAAAGAGAAGAGGCCAGGACAGGACAGTCACACAAGGCCTTACCTAACCCTAACCCTAACCCTAACCCTAACCTAACCCTAACCCTAACCCTAACCCTAACCCTAACCCTAACCCTAACCCTAACCCTAACCCTAACCCTAACCCTAACCCTAACCCTAACCCTAACCCTAACCCTAACCCTAACCCTAACCCTAACCCTAACCCTAACCCTAACCCTAACCCTAACCCTAACCCTAACCCTAACCCTAACCCCTAACCCTAACCTTAACCTAACCCTAACCCTAACCCTAACCCTAACCCTAACCTAACCCTAACCCTAACCCTAACCCTAACCTAACCCTAACCCTAACCCTAACCCTAACCCTAACCCTAACCCTTACCGACCACATGGGTTTGGGTTTTAATCTTAGATAGGATGGCAGACCATTGTAGAAGTTTGAGAGGCAGAATAGCGTGATGTTTTAAAAGCTCGCTGTGGTGACTGGAGGAAAACAAAGCGCAAAGGGGTGAAGGTGGAGGAAAAGTGACTGAGCAGCTGCAGTACTAGCCTGAGTGAGAGATGGTGGCATCTTGGACCAGGATCATAATGGTGGTCATGGTAAATTTGCAGGATATGGACTTCTAAATCTCGCCACAAAAATCTACTGATGACTGACGATGTGTGAGAACCAAGCGGAACTCATGAGCAGTGATGACATCTAACATGGGACTGGGGGGAAGAGGCAGACTGAAAGAAATGGAGAACAGGCATGCTAGGTCAATGAGCCTGACCCACAGGCCTTGGTGTACAAACAGATCACCACA